GACACTGATCAGGGTTACCATGAGCACTGAAAGATGTCTGTTCAGAACAGTTAATTCTACTCTAGTGTTCCCCAAATCAGCCTTCAAGTAATGTTTGTTAAAATAAATAAAATTCTAGGGAAGTATGAAGGAGAATATGTTAGTTTTGTAAAGTGTGGGCAAATAAAAGGACACTGGCTGAATATGCCATTTCTCCTATTTTAATAGTCTTTCCCTCACTGAAGATCTGTGTGAAATTATTTCTTTTTGCCTAATCTAAGGCACTTCTAAGACAGCACTAACCAATAGCAGTTTCCACAAATTAGACTGACTAATCAATAATTTAGATTCATTAGTGGAAAGCAACAAAGGCCTCTCTTCACTCCCATGGGAGTTTTGCAGAAAACAGGCAGGAAATGCTCATCATCAAGTGGAAATGGTACTGAAGAACTGAACTTCAAAATATGTTGGGCTTCAAATACAAATCTCATTTATAGGTCAAGAAATAACTTAAGTCTTTAAACTTTAATGTGAAAATTAAGTTCTTCCTGCTCAGAGAGCTGGGAGAGCATTTCCTGGTTCAGTACTTCATGTAGCCAAAACTACAGAAGCTGTTGGTGTTTAGATGTCTGTTTAAATTCTGTCTCTCCCTCTTCTAATTTAGAACCAAAGGAATTGAAGAGTTGAACTATCTTACCACTATTGTGTTCTGTCTTTCACATTTGTGTTCTAAATATGGGGTTTTTGCATCCTTGTTGTTTTGTTCATATCAGTTCCATAACTTGTTTCTTCTACCCATAGACTCTGGGCTGCCTTGTGCATTGCCAACATTCCTGTGGGATGTTCCAGCAAATGTAAAATATTATATGACTCACCATTGTATTTCTATTGCTGTAACAGGATCAAGTATGAATGTACTCTGTGGTTTAAAGGGTTCCACTCTCCTCTGGCATGTTCCTCTGAAAGGATGCATGAAACAATCATTTTACCAAAACTTCTGTTACAGCTTACAAAGCATCACTCAACTACAGGGTTTTATAGATTAATGATAAACCAATACAAAACAAAAAGCAGTAATAGAAACATTGGCACATTCTCTAAAAATATACTGTAAAGATGATCATAAAAATTAAATGCATTTGCCTTGCATACAAGATACGCATTCCTATGACAGATATTTTGCCTTCACTGCAACTGTACATAGGCATGTTCTTTCCACTGCCTAGTCTGTGATTACAAACTGGAATATGATCTTGTGCACTTAAGGCACGATGGAAATTCAAGAACTGTGTCAAATAAAGGGGCAAGGCTGAAATATTGATAACCTTTCAACATCACTGGCCAATCTAAAAAGCAGGAAGAGAATCATATGGTGACTGAAACCATCTCCTACCCCATATTACTCCAAATGAATTAGTGTATTTCACACAAATAAAAGATGACATTAAAAAATACAGACCCCTAACTTGTTCATTACAAAAATCCCAAGCTGATGAGACTGTGCCTTTCTCTTTATTGTGAGGTCAGTTTCTTATTCACAGCTGTTAAGGGTAAAGGCAGGGCTTTCTATCATTTACCTTCTCTTACTGTGCTAATGTCATAGCAGTGGGTGGGAAACGTCCAAGGGAAATGGCATTGCAAGTAAAGATAAGGTTGTAATTCAATCATATTTGTCTGACCATTTTCTTGCATTGAATTGTCCAGATTTAAATAACTGTCAACAGGCAGTATGATTTCTATAACCATTACTATGACTTTCTCTTGTTCTGATCTCTTACCAAAATGTATCTATTCATTAACAAAAAGCTATTGCTTGAATAAGGCCAGGCACAGACACACTAATTTATGCTCAGTGGACTGAACCTTGAGTAGAGCACATCAGTGAATGTTCTGGCTGTGTTCTTTCCTAGCATTTTCAGGAAACCCTTCACATACAAATATGAAGTGAGGTAGCAGTTTACCCCGATCTGATGTACCTAATCCCAGGATTAATTCTGTGTGCCCATCAGTGGTGAACAAGATGGATTTAATAGCCCATTAGCCCTTCAGCATGATAATTTTCACGTCACTTATCCTGCTGGGTTAATTGCTTTAAAGTGGATATTATTGACCTCAATCCTAGTGGCAAACAGAGAATGTCTTATTCATCTCCCAAATGTACATTCTTAGAGTCTTGTTTCTTTTGGTCTTGACAATAAATCCACTAGATTATGTGTTTGTATATTATAATTTATACCCTATTGGCCCATATTTAAGAGCTTACTGAAGGAACATCTTTCAGATATTATTACCCACGACTGGAATATTAAATTCTGTTTCTTATGTAAAGAGAAATGTTGCAAGCATAAAAAATAATTGTTTTACCTCTTGTTAAGAAATTAATTTTAATGCTAAAAGCTGTAGCAGGTGCAGCAGGGATTAAGCACTTTTGGCATAAACAGCTGGACAGTATATTTCCAACTGCAGAAGTCTGGTCATTAGAAGGAGAGAATGAAGAACAAATTTGGACAGAGAAGCTGCAGGAAAGGAAATTCAGGTTCTAGCACAGAGAAACGGAAAAATATGTAATGAAAAAGAAAATCCAGGAGTAAAACTGAAGAGAAGCGGTTTTATTCATGTGTATTGTTTGTGGATATTTTCCCTTAGTGATTTAGAGAAAACACAGACCAGCTGCTTTGAGGGAATTAATGCTAGCTGTGAGCAGTAAAAAATAGAAAAAACGGCAGTGGAAGAGGAGTGCAAGTCACAATATTGCTTGAGGGGAGGTGAAACAGAGCTGGAAGTTACTGCAGCCAGTTTTTAGCTCTGTATGTGTCAACAGTGCTACACACAGATATACTTAGGGCCTTGCATTCCTTAGGTTCCTCGAGGAAACAGGAGGGTAAGGTTTAGATTCTTGATTGTAGGAACCCCAGGTGTGCCCACAGACTCTTGAAGAACCCGAGTCCCACAGATCTCATTTGTAACACAGGGTATCCTCACACACCCCTGAAGTCTCATTCTGTAGTTTCCTGGGGTAAATTTGCTCTGTAAGATACAGAATGGAGAAGCTTGGTATTTACAAAAAGTAGTTTCTAAACCACATAAATGTTAACATAGGTAATTAATCACTAGTGTAAGCCTATCTTGGCTCAAAAGGCTTATCAAACAGCAGAATAATGGCAGGACTGTTTCTTCACAAAGCAAACTGGAGCCACAGGATTCCTACTGAACTTTCTGATTGACTTAAACAGTGCTAGGATTTTCCCTGGGACCTCAGATCCACATTTACACATTGACAATGACAGTGTCAATGACAGTGATGTCGTTTTGATTAGCAGCTGTTCCTGTGTGACATTGACGTGAGTTCAGTCGTGACACGAGCAGTGGAAGCTGCTTGCTCCCGCTTCAGTTACAAACCACCTTTGGCTCTGGTTGAAACTAAACCTGGCTGCATGTAGCGACTCTCTGCTGCAGCAGGTGTGCGGCCAATCACTGCGCTCCAAAGGATTTTCCAGGAAAAAACAACAACTTGTTTTTTAACCTTCAATTTTTTTTTTTTTCTAAATTTAGGTCATCTGCTTTAGGTCATTTAGGTCATTGGAAAAGGTAAAATGCTAGCATGTTTCATAAAAGGCAAAATAAATGAAACTTTCTGAATTACAAGAATATCAGCATTTCATAGAGAAGTGAAAAATTAAAGGAAGCAGTGAGAATTTGGTCCTTATAAGACTGGAAATATTTCCTGTTTATTCTTAAGAATGCTATTTAAGCATTGGTGATTATTTAGTGATGTTTATTTTTCACTTTGAACAGCTCCTGCCATCCATACTAGGAAAAAAATTAGAGCATTGCCTTCTGTGTTTAAAACTTAGAACTGGTTGATCAGCTCATGTAAATTAGCACATAGCACATCCAGAGGAATCAGAAGAGGAAGGACAGATTACTGATGCTGAACACCTAGTCCTAGATTTTTTTAACTTAAACTATGAGGAAAATACAGTGGATCAGATCTTGCTCCTATGTGTACTGACGTCAGGGGCACAAAACTTGACCCTAAATACATTGTATTGGGTCATTAAACATGAAAAGATTTTAATCATACATAGCGTTGCTAGGGTGAAATCACTGAAATAGAAAGTGCATTTACTTTTTTTTCTAACATTGATTTCGCACACTGTTAGGCACCTTTGTGTGGAACAAACACGTATTTTGTGGATCAGGGGCTGGCTGGGCTTTCCTCTCGGGTACCAGAAGTACGTGACTGCTGGCTCTGCTCTCTCCCCTGCTGGGGCAACGGCCAGCCGGGCACCGAATTCCCAAAGGAAAATTGTGCATTTCTCACCTCCGTCCCAAGAAAGCCAGAACCCGTGGGGGTGTTCTCCCCACAAATCCGCTGCAATCCGCCCTGACGATCCTCACGGAACCTGGGCCACCAGCCCGTCCCCCGGGCCATCCCCGCCACCCGCGGGCACCCGAGCTGGGACCGGGAGCGCCTCCGCTCTCGCCACGCTCCGAGACTGAATTTCCAGACTTTTGGGACACAGAGGGACACCGGCAGCGCTGGGGTGGGGACGCACGTGGCCATTCGCTCACGGAGCACCTCCCGCTCTCCCCAGCCGGCCTGAGCCCACTGCCCACGAGGGGCTGAGGGACGGCGGGGACTGCCTGGCGCTCACCCCGCGGTGTGAGGGGAACAGCCCGCCCCGAGCACCCCGCTGAGCGGGAAGGCGATCCCCTCCTCCCCGAGTAAAGTCTAACACTTTTTATTGATATTTTTCCATCGGGATTCTCCAAAGGACTGACCCCAGGCCCACCCCGCCGGGTCACGCGGGGTGACTCGGTCCCGCCGGAGGCGCCGCCCCGGGCCGGGGTCGCGGCGTGAGGGGACGGAGGGGGTGTAGTGCGCCCTCCCACGCGACAGGGGGCGCTGCAGCCGGCGGGCGCGCAGGGCTCCGCCGCCGCCGCCATCTCCTCGCTGAGCTCATAAAGGTGTCGCGCAGGTTCCGCCCGGGCTCGTCATTCCGCCGCCCCGGGCCCGGTGCCGCTGCCGTCGCCGCTGCTTCCCCCGAGCCGCGGCCCCCGCCCGCTCCCTCCCTCGTGGAGCTGCCGGTCCGCGTCAGCGGCCACCCCCCTCCCGCACCGGCCCGCCGGCAGGCGCCGGTTGTGCCCTCCCCGCCCCTTCCTCCCCTGTCTTCCCCTCACCCCCCCTCCCGCCCGGCCCCTCTCCCGCCGGCCGAGCCCCGGAGCGCCGCCGCCGCCGGGGTGTGAGCGGGGCCCGGCGCCGTGCCGGGCCGTCCCTCGCCGGCGGGGCCATGGCCGCGAGCGCCAAGCGGAAGCAGGAGGAGAAGCACCTGAAGCTGCTGCGGGAGATGAGCAGCCTCCCGCCCAACCGCAAGTGCTTCGACTGCGACCAGCGGGGCCCCACCTACACCGACATGACCGTGGGCAGCTTCGTGTGCACCTCCTGCTCCGGCATCCTGTGAGTGAGTGCGGGAGGGGACCGCCGGCTCCATCCCCCCGGCAGCGGTGACCTCCGCCCCCGGCCGCCGGGGCACGCGTCCGCAGGGCGGCGGCGGCCGGGCGGTGCAGCCCCGCCGCGGGTCTCGCAGCGCCGCCGCTCCCCCCGCGCTCGCCCTTCCTGTTGCCGGCTTGGCCACGTCGGAGGACAGCGGGCAGGGGGCTCTCCAGGGGAAGGGGGGGAGGCCGTCGGGAGACTTTCCCGGGCGCGTTCGCTGGAAATCCCCGTCGGAGCCCCCGGTGCGGAGGTGGCCGCCTCTGGCAGGGTGTGCGGCGCTGGGGCGCACGGCAGCCCCGCGGCCCCGAGATGGTCCTGGGGAGGCTTCTCCGGCACGCAGGGGGAGCGCGCACGGGCAGCCCGAGCACCACCGCCCCACGGAAGTGTCGGAGGGGTGGTTCATTAAGCAAGTGTACGATAATACTTGTGGAAAGGGAAGGGGCATGTGGCCTAGCAGTTCACTGTCATGATAGCCTTGAAGATGCGAGGATACTAACCCTGTCGTGAATGCGTTTACAGATACTGCTTAAACGTTAAGTTAAACCACCAGCATGGCTTTATGTGCATCGAGTTCTGCTTGGTGGTAGTTTGTAAGACAACCCTTTAAGCTCTGTCTCAGTCTATAAACTCCAGGCCCAATGGTTTAAGAGACTTGATCAGAAAAGTAGAAGCTGGCTGGGATTTTTTGACTTAACATCGACTATTTCCTACAAACTATATATATAAACCTGGGAAAGGGATTGGCTCTGATAAAGTGATTGCATTTTTCCTGTTCCTCATTCCTGTATGGGCCTTTCTACTACTCCTCCCTTTTCCACCCATCCTTCCCAGAGATAGTGTGTATGAAACTAAGAGATGAGGTCAGTCAGTTGTGAATTTCATCACATATTCATAATTTGGGAGAAAGACACCGCTGTCTTCAGTGCTGCTGTTTCCTTAGCTATATCTGTTTGCTTTTATATGATTCTGTAGCATTGTGACAATGGAATGGAGCAGAATCAGAGTAACCAAAGAAGTAATAAATAGTATGTCAGAGGATATGGATTGGTGTTTCTAAAAGGCATTCAGGAGCCTGAACTAATTTCTGTCCCCTTACTACCCTAAACAGCCCTTCCAAGTAAGGTCTTGTGTTTTAGAACAAAGTTGGTAATTATGTTGAAATGCAAAGTAAATATATTAGTTCTTTGCTTAATTTTCATGGAACAAACCGCCTTTTATACTAATAGACAGCTGATTAGACTTGGAGTTCTTCTACGTTATCTAGGCTTCTGAACAGACTTGATGCAAATACAGAAAATACATTTAGGTTGTGAAATTGAAAAGAGACTCTAGGTTTTCACACAAACATGCCACTCAGTCAGCCAGCTCTGGCTATTGTTTGCTCTCTTAGCAAACTGTTATTTGTGCTGGCATGTGAAACTATTTTAAGCTACTGCACTGAGCTTATTTAATGGTTGCACATGTTCTTACTGGGTTAAACTGAAAGGGTGGTAAAGCTGCACCATGAGAGTGTTTGTCTTTATTTTTCAGGCTTCTTAACCTTAATAGACAAGTATATTGTGAATGCTGCTGAGATGCTTAGCGTGGGTTCAGAAGAGTCTGTTCCTTTTATCTGTTGGCTGGGAGGTAGGGACTACTAACACAGTCCAATTTACAGCAACCAAGAGGATGTACAGGCAGTGAAACAGCTTGTAAACAGGGGACAGCTGCCACTTGGTGTTGGCCATCATTTGGATGTTACCATGCTTAAAGGAGGAAGACTGTCTGCAAAAACATGGTTAATGTATTGGTATTCCAATGAAACTCAAATGGCTTTTTCATTCTAAATATGCAGTGGTTTTGTCTTGCTGCAAAAAAGCAACTACAAACTATATGTTTGGTTCTTACAGCTAGTAACACCTACACTTACAGCTGGAGTAAATGACTATTAAGAGGACTGAGTTTCCCTCTAAAATAAATTTGGACTCATTCTTTCGTGTCAACTTGGAAAAACTTCCATAAGTTGTGTGTGCAGGATCATATATGTTGGTTAACACCTTATGACCTGGCCAGTGGCATGTTTATTTGTTAGTGATGAGACTTGGTGTAGGTCATGTCTGTTTCATAACTAGAAACTTACCTTTAACACTTCCATCAGAACAGTTCTTCAAACAACTTGTTTATTTCCAAATGCTTTTCACTGTAGAATTTCATGGTGTAGGGAAATGACTTGGGAACAAACAACATAATAGCAAATATAAAAGTACTGCTGCTTTTGTAGTTCTTAATGGCTGTTTGTGTTCTGCCTCATAGTACTTGCTTTACTGTAAGGTTTTAATAATCTTAGTACTTTATCTTGTTTATATGCTATGTGAATGACTTGCATTGCTTCTTGTTTTAATTATTTTTTTCTACTCTGGTACAGGAAGTATTCTTGAAGTCAAGTAGACCAGTTTTTTCAAGTATGAAGTGCTCAATGCAAGATTAAAATACTAGATTATTTTAGATTAAAAGAGATTAAAAAGTCTCTTTCAGAAAGGTTTCTCAATTAACTAAAAGTGATTGCTAACATCGGTATCATCTTAAATAAGCATGTTATTCTAGATAGAGTTAACTCCAAGATCTTTAAAACTGTAGTGTAACTTTTTTTACTAGTTTTCTGAAGTGTTTGTTCATTGTCCTGGCAAGGACTGTCTAGTCACATTCAAAATCTTAATTCTGGATCCATCCTGAATTTCCTTAAAGTATTTAATGTGTATCAAAAGAGCGATGCTATGTATGACTAGATTTAGCTTTAAAAACCTACTATTCCCTCTACTGTTTCCCGAAATAGTATGTCTACTTTTTCATATGCTGCTGCTAAAAACAGTGACACAACTAGTGACTTTGCTAAAAAGATTCTTTCTGACTTAATGTTGAAGGTGAGTCTTGTCAAGTCAGAGGTGTGGGTGACAGGAGGTTTTTTCCATAGTACCTGGGGTTTAAGTGACCGGGTCAGATCAGGCTTACCAGAGCAGAAGTTTCGCTGTGCAAAATGGTGCATACAGGAGAAAGTTCATGCACAGTGGTGTGAATTTGCTTCCTCTTAAAATAGTTCCACTTGTCCCATGTTTAAATTCTTCATGTGGGCAAAAAAAGTGTGCTAGCACCACACAAGGTAACTCAAGTTGTTGGTGTTGTACAAGAATCTGGGATATCTGGAATGACACACAATTTCTGCCCTGAGAGTGGGAGGAGGTGCTCTGGAGGAGCAGTGTGCTCAGGTCAAGATTACAGTCATACACCACAGGAAGATTTCTCTTTATTACAGCAAACCTGCATCTTGGGAAATGTTGGCAGGGAAATTATTTTGGTTTGACAGAAGTTCTTTGATTCAAAGGATTGTGTTGGTAGCTATGACTATTGTTTTCCTGGATGCTCCCATGTGGCCTGCTGACAGTGACATCCTTCCCTTTGTCTTATCAAATGCCTCTCTGCCTTGTATCTCAGCTGTCTGTGCATCTCTGCTTTCAAGTACTTCTGTAGCACTCGCAGTCAGCACGCTCCCAACTTTGGTAAAAAGAACATGTTTTTAGTTCACCAATGGAAAATATCCCTGTTTAACAGTCTTCTTGCACATGTTTTGTATTATAGAATTTTTTTATTTAATCTTGACTCATTTTTGTATCTGCAGGTGTGATAATTAAGGTACTCCTATCCTTTCTCTCACTGCTCTCTTAACTCCCTCTCAACTTATTTAGGAAGTCTCCTGTTCAGCAACAAGGAATGTTTAGAGCATAATAGGTACTTTGAGAAATGCTAAAGCCCCTTTATGCTAATTTTTTACAACTGTTGGCCTTCTTCTGGCTACTTGTAATGCTCCTAGTTGAAATTTTAAAATTCTCATGGGTAGGAGACTTCTGTATCAGCCAGATAGAAGTATTTGATGGCTGATAGAATAGTAACAAACAATAACATCTCTGTGCAGTGGTGATAAATTATTGTTCTTTACCTAGAATCAGTTTAGCAGAAATTAAAAATGTTTAAATAAACAGTGCTAGAGTGAAGGTGATAGAGTTAGCATGACTTTTCAGTCCTTTTTTTCCTTTGGAGCATGTCTGGAAAATGACTCCATGTGTTCTGGGCCTCTGTGTATGTGTAAATATATTTTTTAAGGGTATTTTCTGTGTTACTATATTTCTTGTTTTCAGTTGCAAGGCAGGAGAGCAAAGGAAATGTGTCTATACCACATTGAACAGTGTGCAATTCAGAAAGAATGTTTGGTTATTTTTTAAGAAAAAACCAAAATTAACCTTAACTCTGCTTCAAAATGTGTGTATGAGTCGTCTGCTATTAAAAATAAATGAGCTTGTGAGATGGCGGAGGGTCTCCAGGGAGGTCTACAAGTATCAGGAATGGCCAGTGCTGCTCATATTCCTTTTTGCTAATTACAGTAGCACAGAAATAATAATGAATGCTGGCACACTGGGTTTTCTGGTGCTTGTTTTCTGGACATCTGGGTATGTGGGGTGCTCTGTGATGGCTCGGTATTGGACTTGCCTCATTAACTTCCTGCATTTTAGGGGATCACGTTTTGCTGGCTGAGGTTTGAGGTGTTGTTAAAATCTGATCCAGGGGACATGAGCAGCGTTGGGCAGCCGTCTGCCCACCATTCCTCCTCCAAGAGGGACCCTCTGTTCTGCCAGAGCTCACTCTTCACATTTTTCTCCCCTCCCAGCCCTAGCCTTTGCAGTCGGCTGCTCTGCCAACAATCACAAGTTCAACTATAATTTGCCGCTAAATTATGTTAGAAACAAATATCCACTGCTTGTTGACTGTGTTTTGAATGTTTAATGTTTCAACTGCCAGACTGCAGAATCCTGTGTCAGTGGCCTTAAAGCTTCCTTTGTTTGTGAGAGCACCAGTTTAACAATGCCCTCTGGAGAACAGAGGTCTCATGTTCTCTGAAGCTGCCCCTACGCTGAGCTGTGACTCAGTGAGGGTCAGTGGAGGAGACTCTCTAGGCTGGAATCTCTGGTCACAGTGCTCTTCCACAGAAATAATCGTTGCTGAGCGTGAAGAAGTTGGCAGTGATGAGTGGGATTCTCTGTGTGGGATGTTCTAGCTCTGGTGTGCTGGATAAGTGCAGATGGCAGAATTGTCTTACTCTGTCATCCTTCCCCAGGGCCTCTTGGGAGGAGAGAGCTGCAGTCTGCTTTAAGTGCTGAGGTGACGTTTGGTTGCTGCCTTCCCCTGGAGCTCTGTTGTAGGGAAGGGAGTAACTGGTACTGCTGCACAGGGGCAGCTTGCAAATACTTGTTCAGGGTCAATTTAAATTTAGGCATGGATAATTTGCACTAAGGGACTGCAATCCATTCGTCCCCTGTTAAATAGGGAGTATACTGTAAAGCATTATAATTGTGTGAAACACTTGTCAAATACAAGGAAAGAAACATTTTTCCTATGAAGAAGGAGATTTGGTAATTCCTCATAAGGGATAATTGTACTTGGCTGTCTACCAGTAAGCTTCCCCCATATGTAGATGAGGTGTTTGTGAATCATTTCGGTCATTAAATAGTCTCTGTAAGGTAAGGAAGGGTTCGTCCTTGAATCCTGTTTCAAAAATTGCACAACTGCTCTATTTTAGGGAAATTCCAGGCAATTCATGGATGTCAGTTAGAAATCATAAAAAAATAGTTAGCTGTTCTAATGGTAGAATCAAAGTAATTTATCTAAGGAAGATAATGCTTGGGCTGTGTTTGTGTGCAGCTTCTTGTCTTGAATTCCTTGTTTTGGGCTGACTTCTTAGGCTGCTTTAGCATAAGAGGAAGCTTTATATAGGTTCCCTGCATCCTTTGCCATATTCAATGGACATAAATACTTGAATGTACAGTATTGCAGCTTTATAGTTTGCTTTAGATTATGGCTGTTAAAGTTTTGTTCAGAATTTCCAATACCCCTGGACCAGACATGGTTCTGTGCTCTCTTTCCTCCTGCCAGACATCTGACACCTCTGTGTGGTGATCTGATCTTTAGGGGGGGATGTCTTCCTTCTTTTAGCAGGATGGTGTAAGAGAAATGTGAATTCCTCTTATCCCATGTGGATATAGTGTGTATACCAGGAAACCTTATATGTCTGAACTCTTCACTGGAGAGAGAGGCATGGGGAAGTCTCTGGCGAGATTTAACAAAATCTTATCTAGGCCTCAACCACATTTAATATTGCTGCTTAATAGAGCTGAAGATACTGAAGATGTCAGTGTTTGCTGCTGTAAATGCTCTAAAGAGCCCTGGTTAGATCAGTGTAGAGTAGGTGAGTCTTAGAGAACTTGTGCAGTGCCTTGAAACTGCAAACACGGGTACGACAGAGCACTTAAACTGTACTTACTGCAAAAAGGAGTTTCCAGCAGGAGCTAGTGGGAAAGTTGAGATATACTGCCTGTGCTGAGAAACATGTGAATGTGTTAGTGAATAGCTCTGGCTTTTAAATACCCATTAAATAGTTTACAACTACCTAACTGTGCTGCTATTGTAATTACTAGGAGGAGAGTAAATTGAACAGACTAAGGTAGACAGAACTGCTTTTATGCTTACTGTAAAAGCAAGGGACAGTAATTGTCATATAACATTTGATGGAGCAGATAGATCTGTGTGAAGTGCCAAGTGGATGCCAGCTTTGTTTCTATGCTGTCACTCAATATGTGATGCTACAAGTGCCATTTAGTGAAATGTAATTACTTGCATGCACAGACTGAGAAGGTGTTTCTTTTAAAAGCCAAAAATAAGCAAAACCTAATCCTAGCACCAGCTCTGAAACAATGAATTTTAACTGCATAGAACTCCTACGGGTTTCTTTTAAATTAAATCATCTTAAAATGAGAACTTACTTAAAAAAAACCTTAGATAATATTATAGTATTTTAATAAATGTAATTTATTTGTGATGTAGATGATACAGCTAGATGAAAGGTGTTAAATTAGTAGCTTTAATTTACCAAGAAATTTAAATATTTTGAGAAGATAGTTTAATCAACTATCATAAAACCTCTCTCACCAACTTCAGTGAAACTTCTACTTGTCAAGGTGCTGAACTGTGGAGTCAAATGTCAGCTGCTCTGATTTCAAAAGTTTGCTGAAGCAAATGGTATTCTGTAAAACAATTTTTCATATATGCCTCTAGGTTTGGAAATGACTTCAGCTTTTAAGGTAGTCAAAATGACTGCATTTCTTAGCAAAATACAATTAATTGTTTATCCAAGTGTTTCAAACAGTGATTATCTCAAATTTGTTTTCTCATGAAACTTAGGCTAAAATGTTACTGCTTAGTGTTCTAACCCATATTCAACTTCTGATTAAAAATGTGGAATTCTTTAACATGGGATCAGAATTGTCTTACAGGTACACTTAAATTTAGGTGTGAAGGTGAATTTCCAAGCTAAATGCACAACAGTATTTTTCCCATTAGACTTACTTGGAAAACTTGAAGTGCTAAAATTTTTCTGCCAAAGTTGAATTTAATGTTAATATTTGGAATATCAGATTTTTGTCATAGGCTGTTCTGATGGATAGCAATTTAATTTATAGCTAATGTTCTTGGGATAATCACAGAGTTTAAAGAAATCTACTGGCTGTCCTAAGTTAGATGTCAGTGTTGTTTTGTTGTGGTTTTTTTCTTAAAAGCAATCTGAACCAAATTTAGAATTAAAAGTGTAGGGACAAATACAAGCAATACAATTGATTTCCTCAGCGATTTGTTAGGCCTGCATTGCATCCCTGGAAAGCTTTTTGTGTGCTCTGGTATCTCATGGTTAATGTATATGAATTGTTTTTTTAAGATGGTATTTCAGAAATCCAGGCCTGATTAACCTGAGTGTTAAACTGGCCCCTGGTATTGCCTGGGTGAGTGTCTCCAGTGCTTGGCACATGTGGGCTGGGATGTTCTTGCATCCACTGGGCAAAGCACAGCTTGGCTTTGGTTGGAAGCAGTTGTGGGCAAAAGCAGTAGGTAGCGTGTGTTTAAAGGAGGAATTGGGAAAGAAAGCAAGCTTTTCTTGCCCTGGTGCTGTTGCTCAGCATGTTTTCTCTCTGTGCTCGCAGGCTGTGGCTGAGCTGGGTTTGACAGTGTTGGGCTGTGGCAGCACAAATGCCTGGTGTGCTGCTGGCCCTGCTGTGGCTGCCTGGCATGGGTGTGAGAGTGCTGCCAGTCTGGGCTTCAGGCAGAGCTGCTCACCTTTGCAGCTGTGGCATTAGCAATGCTATCTCTCATGTGAGAACATGCTAAAACCAGTGTCTTTTTGCTTTTGTTCTGGTTATTCTGTAGTGTTCAGGAAGAGGAGTAAGCCCCTGTGAATTCTCAGGGGCTAAAAGTAAACTATAAAAATATGCTGTGAGAAGACAGGAAATGTAGGTGAAAGCAAGAGAAAAATACTGAGCTGGGCAGTTTAGCTTGAGGAAATCTAGTTACTGTGTAGAAGTAATAAGAGATCAAAGTATGGAAAGATTTGGAGGAAAAGGAAGCTACAACCAAGAAACCCAAGAGTGAGAGACAAAAGGTGGAGGCAAGGGTGAAGCAAATTAGGATTTAAAAAAAGTCTAATTTTGTCTTCCTAAATTTGCATAGAAGGTGCCTGAGTGACTTTGTTTGGGCAATTGTGCATATTGGTCTCCCCAGAAGTTTTGTTACTCAGCTTTGTTGTATACTAAGTGTTCCTTGAGAAGAGCTTACACAGCCTTAAGTTGTATGGCAGTACCAAGAATGAGTGTGCTTTACAGAGATGGCTCCTGATTTTAAAACTGTCTGACTTCTAACTGCAGTGTTAAACGTGGTTGTATGATGACAAATTTCCCAAGGGCTGAACACCTCTTTCTTCTTTCAGGCGGGGCTTGAATCCACCCCACAGAGTGAAGTCGATTTCAATGACTACATTCACACAACAGGAAATAGAATTTCTGCAGAAACATGGAAATGAAGTAAGTATTACTTGGAGAATAAAGTGGGTTTGGCACTTTAGTATTAAAGTTGAAAACACTACTTAAGGAAAACTTAGGGTTTTTTGTTTGGGTTTTTTTTTTGGCAAAAGCTAGGCAGGAGTCTTTTGAAGCCAACATTATTTGAAATGAGGCCTCTGAAGAGCTTGTTTCATTGGGTAGCTGATCATCATAATGTTATTGCCCAACCCAGACAATCCAGATTCACATGATCAGTATTTCTGAATTGGGTTTTCTTTTGATTTTGCATAAGGCAATAGGCAGCCACCTTTTTTTTCCCTGTAAGCTCAGAACTTGAAACTGACCACAGCAGTATTTCCTGAAAGAGTGTACTGTGCCAAAAATAAATACAAAAGTACAGCTTGTAGCTGTATTTCTTCACACTTGGTGTCAGAAAGTCTTCTAGTAGTTTTAATACTTAATAAAATAATAATAAAGAATTAATTTATAATTAATAATAAATAATTTAAATACTTAATAAAAGTATATCCATATATTTGTGTATGTGTGTTAAAGTATATCCATATTGAATGTTCTTGGACAGAGGAAGGAAAGGGAGAAATTGTTATCTGGTGAGTAGTTTGTGGCAGCTTTGAAGGAGACAAGTTCTAGCATACTGACTTTTTGTTCCTTTTAATAGAAGAAAAAATCTGAGGTAAATGTTGGATTGACTCTGTGGGAATACATGGAGGTGTTGAGCCCTGGATGTGGCTATTGCTGACTTCAGTTTGAGGGTGAAGTTTGTGTTTTAATAACATGCTGTAGCCTTGAGGATTTTAGAGGCAGATTTTGCCTCTGTTCAAACTAGATAAGGTTCTGCTTCACATTGATTGCATCTGTACCCTGTTTAGTAGAACTATTGATTGTAGGCTAGAGTGTGTTTTATTAGTGTGCTTTTGTGAACCTTTGTGAGGATAAATCCCATCATTCAGTAAAATGCTGATACTTAACTTTCTTAAAGTTGGTCCATTCATAACTGTCAGGTTGAAGAATGAAAACAGAAGTAGTAATTTCTTTTTCTGCCCTGGTAAACATGTGTTTTTTGTTGAAATGACTGTTAGTGGCTGATTCCTTTAGACAGAGCTAGAACAAGGCCTGAACTCTCCCAGACTTTATAAATACTCTTGATGGCTTGGTTGGGCTTTTTAAAACTGTAGAGCATTGCATATGTGTGTGTATATGTATAGAGCATATATTAGTCAGTACTACTGACTTTTTGCATAAGGAAATTTAATAAAGAATCATCTGTGGATTCACATAGAATGTGTTGGACGCTCTTTCCATAAGATTAGATTGTAAGCTTCAGCTTTGCTTTAAGCTTCACAAAGTGTAAAGGAAAACGTGTTTGTAGCTCCCTCCCTGTATTTGTTTTAATTTCATTTCTTACTAACCTTGCTATGTCTAGAGATTGCTATGAGTTTGTTTTCACTGATCTGGAACCTTAAGTGATCCCTTCTCAACTGATTAGTGTGGCTGTCCTTCTCATAGCCATGACTAGTCTGCTAATCATAATGATTTACTTGATACATAGTTTATTATTGACATTAAAAAAATCACAGACCTCTGCAGTGCTACTCTGTTGTGAAAGCAGAGGTCTTTGCACTTGTAGTACTCTACTTAAAGAATTGTAATGATTTAAATGAGCTGCCTCCTAAATGAAGATGTCCTTCTGAGTTTAGTTTTAGGTTGTTGATAATTGTTTTAATTCTTAAGTAAAGCTGAATAGACACACTGTAAGTGCCAATGGACATTTTTAGGAGTACTCAAATATTGAACAGAAATGATTATTGTTTTAAACACTGTTAGAAGTTTAAAACCTAGTTAAACATGTTGTTGTACTTTATGTTGCAGTAGTTAAATAGGCATTTTGTTTTCTCTTGTTAGTATTGGACTTTGGAATACTTATCTGCAGATAAGATACTGTATTGGACAGAGGAAATTCATCTGACAAAAACCCTCCATTTTTCTGCTTAGCTTACTGTTCAGTGTAGGAGGCTTTTGGAAGAAAGGAAATTGCCTGAAATAAGACTTTTCAAACATGGAATTGTCCAATGTTGCAATATGAACAGTTACAATAATTTTACAGTGATACATTTTAAAAGAAGCCCAACTTTTTTTGGCAATCGATCATGCTTAACTTCCATTTTTCTGTAACTTCTAAAATACTTTCATTCCAACTTTCTTGTTCTAGTCTTTCTCCAGCATGGCCCAGGCCTCTGTGATAACCTTTCTTGCTTCCAGATGAGTGGGTCATGGTTGTACAATAGGGATCTTGTTCTGAATACAAAGTAAAATAGCAAGAAAACTTCCATGAGATAAAGTAGTTAAGGTGCTGAGTTGTTCTTAAAGGAAGTAATTTTCCATTCTCATTTAAAGGGTATTTATAAGGTCAGTGTATTGTATGAGGTTGAAGTCCTCTAAAACAACCCAACCACCCAAACTAAACAAAGAAAAAACCCCAAAATGCTTCATAATATTTTAAATACCAACTTTTCCCCAGTTGTTGTAAATGACCCTCTTTGTGGCACACGTGGGTGAAACATTCAGTTACTGAAAGGCTTCTGCAAAGCAGCTGCTTCAGGGAGAGATTATGCAGAGCAGCTCTTCCTTAGGTGAGGCACCATCTTCTTCCCCATATATGCACATTCTAAGAAATTTCTGGCACAGGTAGCTTGAAAATTATTAAATTATTTTTAATGAGTTTTTAGTGCTTCAAAGAAAGTTTTAAATCCTTATACTGTATTAGAAGACACCTATATTTTGGTGTTGCTGACTCATCTGGAGGTATAAACAGCTGACCAGTCTCCAGTTTTGCTTATGTTGGGATTAGGTCACTGTAGCAGGAATGGAGGCATCTTCCAGCTGACATTCCTGAAGTGCCTTCTGAAATCCTTTTGAAGGATAAAGGCAGTTCTGACTCACTGGGTAAGGTTTTTTGTCTCCTTGCTGTCCTCATGAAGAGCAGTGTGAGGTATTTTCACATTTTCTCATTAGGAATAACGAGGAGAGAGTGAAATGGAGATGTGTCTGTTTGAATACTCATCCTCAAATGATGCTGGTGCTGATTTGGCCTCTGATTCAGTTGTGCAGTGGTAGTAGGAAGTGAACTTGCTGTTTGAAGAAAGTGGAGGTGGTGCTAATCTCCTGTTGCCATTAGAGCTGTGAATATTTATTCAGAAACTTTTCTCCTAAGATGAAGAATAGTATTATGAGGCAAACCAGTTACAGAGTTAATTTTTCTCCTACCCTTTTGAAAGATGACAGGTATTTTATAACCTTTCCAAATAACCCATTCTAATATGCATGTGGTTGAAGAAAAAGATCTTGATGGTCTTGGATTTAGAAAATCTCTGTTACTCTGGGGCAAAGACCATGTTTACCTGAGCAGAATACATGAAGGTATGCTCAGCTGCTTGCAGTTATTTTAATAGTGCTGAATTTTGGTGCCAATTTTCCTGACTCTCAATAGCACCTGTGCAAGTCCCTGTTTCCTGCACTCTTGCAGAACTGGCAGCAGTCTGAGCCTGGTTCAGAGCTGATGTTAGGTCAGACCAGAATGCTTCCCTAGAATCTCCTTTACTGTGGAATGTGGCCTGGACACCCTGGAGATAAAGGAGCAGTCCTAAGCTGGAGCTGATGAGTGCTGACAGCACGAGCTGTGCAGTCAGGTGTCCTTGGAGTACATTGCTGGTTCTGCTAATACGATACAGAGATCCATGAGCTGATTGTGTGCAGAACAATGTCTTTGTTAGCTGGATTTACTGGCTTCACTCTGCTTATGAAACCACTCTAACTTCTGGACCCAAACTGCCTTTGAAATTAGTACTCTGGCAGTATAAAATTCTTTTAACCTACTGAGATTAATGAATAATATTGACATCAGAAATGCAGGATTACTAAACAAAGCTATAACTTCCTTACATAAAGAAACTGTTTCCAAATCTTTCTTCCTGTAGGGTGTTATATTTTGGAACATAGGTTTGTTGTGTGGTAATGTGCAGTTCTTTGCACTGCCAGCATTATATTTGGTACATAACTGAGGATATTTTATTGGCAGGGATGGGGAGAAGAAGAAATCTAATTTGGAATTTACCAGCCTCCTGAAAGGTATTATCTTGTTAGAGCTTTTTAAACTAGACTGACATATGTAATCTTCCTATGCAGTGGTATGTCTGGGTCTCCAGAAGTGTTGTAGGTCAAGTAGTGTGCTTTTTCCTACATTGAAGTGCAGCTCCTATCAACACAAGGATGTGTCCTGTGAGAGCTTTTCCTTGCCTTGCTGCCTTCATCACATACAGGAGCAGGAGGCTTAATGAGCAAGAACTTAACTTTGCTGGCCTGACAGAATTTTTACTCTTCCTGACTAGCCCAGCTGTGCTAAGAGGAGTTTCTGAAGTGTGGTGGCTCAATGTGTTGTGTAAGCAGAAGGCCTTTGTCTCTCCCGTATCCGCCTTTCCCCACACACTGGAGATCTCTATCAGTGAAATAGTTAGAACATGGCAAAGCTTTGTTTCATACTTGAAATACAAAGCACTGGACTAGAAATAACTGAAGTCTCAGATTCTCAGTGTTTCTGCAAAATTTAGTGGATAGTGCTGATTCTTTTCTTAAGTAGCAGTTTTTTAGTAGGCCTATTCTTTCCTACTTGCCCAACTCTAAAAGCACACAGGAAAAATCCCCAAAACATGTGAACAAATATAAAGCAAAACAAAAGCTAAACTTTTGTGGAAATCAAGTACATGTATTTCCTTTTAGTCTTTGAGCCCTTCTTGGAACTCCTGAAAGCATGAAATGTTACTGGAGGCTGGGTTTTAAACCAGAAACCTTTCTGATTAACTTTGTGGTGTGCCAGATGTGCACTGAATGGGATGTGTTCTTTATTGCTTTCTGTCAAAGCTGAAAACAAAGGTAATTTCTCAAAGTATAGGACTGCAAATGTAAATGACGTATGGAAAACCTGATGTATGGTAAATATAATTACC